GTTACTTGAAGTATAACAATTTTATAAACTGGCCTACATATACATGCTCCAAATCTTTCCTGACAAATGAAATCATGATTATTTATCATAATCAAAAGAAGTGAAATCGCCATCTGTAAGTTCAGTGTAAGATACAAATTAGATAGGCTGTTTATACCACCATTATATACATCACAAAAATTATCCCAACACAAGCACATGGCTTCTGCTGCAACCTTAATACACATGCAGAAATATATATATATATATATATATATATATATATATATATATATATATGATTATATCTGAGGTTTTCGCGGGTATTTGTATATAGGTCTTTGGTTGTTCGGGTTTTCTCCCGCGTAAAATTGGAAGTGTCTTGCCAAGACACTTCCAATTTTACGCGGGAGAAAACCCGAACAACCAAAGACCTATATATATATATATATATATATATATATATATATATGTATGAAGAATGTACAGGAGAAAAATCCTTGTAACAGAATCCCATAAATAATTAAAATACGCTTCAAAAGACATAATTCATCAATTTCAAAAAACATAACTCAAACAAACTTAATTTCTGGTAACCAAGAAACTAATATTGAGTTTGCGATACGGTTGAAGTAAAATGTATTTTAATAAACCCACACTGCAGCTTAATCTAGATCAGTGGTTCTCAACCTTTTTAATGCCGCGACCCCCAACCGGTCGTAAGTCGAGGACTACTCAACCGGTCGTAAGTCAAGGACTACTCAACTGGTGCAGCACCGTTTGCAGAATGGGACTTTTGGCAGGCTCAGCAGGGCAGAGACAGCCTGGACAATTCCTATTGGCTTTTGAAAGCCAATAGAATTAGACTCTATTCAAGAGAGTCTATTCTATTGGCTTTCAAAAGCCAATAGAATAAAAGGGAGTAGCACAGCTAAGGAAAAGGGGGAAAAATGGCAGACTGCGTTGTTTGGCGACCCCTGTGAAATGGTCGTTCGACCCCAAATGGGGTCCCGACCCACAGGTTGACAACCACTGATCTAGATTCTAAAGATTGTCTTTACAAGAATTGAAAAATAAGGCAAATTTGTCTTGAAATCAAGTCATCTTAACAGCCATCTGGTAAAGGGATATAGTACAAAGGTATTAGATAAGGATACTTAACACTCAATAAATCTCATTTGGGATGCAGTTATATGTGTATATTTGGGCCTGGTAATCGCCATTGATTTTTTTTTCAAGGAAGCATGCATCATATAATTAACTTAATTAGCTCTTCATTCACAAATACAATGTGCCTAACCTCAACTCTGCACAAAGTAGTATGCGCATAGAGCCCTTGTTGCCATGTACATTAATGAGCAAAATGCCCATGCACAGCACTAATATGACTGAAGAATTCATACTGCATTAATTGATCAACTAAGCAAGAGCAAAGCAGTTCAGCCTTCTCCAGCTACCCTGGGACAGCAGTTCTCAGCAGTCTAGCCACAACTCTGTCAGAGGAGATTTAATTGAAAAAGTCTTATTTACTGCATTGTTGTATCTTAAGTAAATAGTATCAAAGGCATTGATAAGCTGTTTTTGCCTTAACTCACTAAGTAAATCATTCAAGTTCTAATAGCAAGTCTGTAATGGAAACCAATGGTACATAATTTAATACATTTTCCTTAGTGATTTTCTTCAACAACCTAGCACACGGGTGTCAAACTCGTCACATCACGTCATGTGATGTGTCACAACATATCATGACTCTTTTTGCATTACCGGCAATGGGGTGGGCGTGGCTTCAGTATGATGAAACTGGCCCATGGGCCAGCAGTTTGACACCCCTAACTTAGCAGTTTTCATTGCTGTGGCATGAGAAACATCAAGTCAAAAAACAGTACAGTGTTTAAATGCTCAGCACAGAACCCATGGATTTAAGAGTTGGCTATAGGTTAAATACAAAACTCATGCAAAGGTCTCTTTATTTCAACACAGAGGCTCAAAGATTGCAAATATTTTTTATACAAGAACAAAAGAAAAATTCACATCTTTCCCCAAGCTGTTTTTCCCCTCCACATAGGGGCTCCACCTGGGTACCCATAATCTTCTGCTTCAAGGGAGGAAAATGCTTGAAGGTTACCCCAAGTAGCAAAATAACCTACAGCATGGACCTCAGCTGTGGTTTGGGGCCCCTGGCAGGTTCATTAGTTTCTTAGAAGGGAGTCCCATTTTTTTTAAAATATGGAAGTCTAACTCAAACCTTTAAATATTACTAACACAAAATTAGAATCATCAATTGCACTAATTCATTTAACATATGGGGGGGTCACACTATCCCAGTTTGTAACCACTGGCATACATGGTAACTGTTAATAACTCTACATACATTCCTCCTATTCTAGCAGCTGCCTTCAGAGAGTAGTTTCCTTACATACACAATTAACACTATTGTACATACTGTATCTGCTTGGAACATATTTTAGTTGTGTGATGAAACATTCAGCAGGAAGCTTTATAATAAAACAAAGTTCCTTTGCTGCTTTTTGAACAGCGTTAGTAACAACTCAGCTTTATACAATACTACAGCTGGCAGCATTTATTCATTAATTAGTGGAACACATGGAACCAATGTATAGCAACTTCAAATGTCAGCTTCTACATAATCCATTCTCCAGAAGAACATGATTCTGCAAAAACTTTACAGAAACCTTAAATCAGACATGGCCACTTCTTCACAATTTCAAAAAATTGTTCTACATTTATTAGAAGTTCAAAAACTGGGCATTAAAATATTTCTGAACTGGATTTGTTTCCTAAGGATGGATATGTTTCTTTTCCCCACCAAGAACTTCATAAACAATAAACTTGGACTGGAAAAACGAACAATTGAACTTGGGATGTTTCACCTAACTGCTACAAAAATATCTTATTAAATTCTAGAACCAAATGTGTTCATTTTTATAATAGGGTGGACAACTTATGGCCAACTTCCATTATAGTTTTTGGAATTCAAAATACCCTAAAACAAACTACATATGCCCATCTTTTGTTTAAAAGGATTCCTATTCCACCAGAATGGAAAAGAAATCGGCAAAATCCTATCCTGTTTTGACAGTGTAAGTCCTCTCTCTTATGGCTTAGTTGCAAAGCAAACAAATACAGAATACCTCTCAACAGTAAAGAACTTACCATTCTCTGCTGTAAACTACCAGGGCAATTTTCAAGCAGCTTAAAAAATATTCTAATTGAGCCTATGCCAGCAAAGATATGACAGAAGGAATAGCTGACGCATAGCAACTTAAAGGACTATTAAGGATAAAGTGAAATCAATCACATCAATACAATGTGTGTGCTGCCATAAGTAAGTAAATCTGCTTAGGGGATAGAACTGATCCTTCAGAAATAAAACATTGAGCTGTTGCCTTGGATCCAGTTCGGAAGAACTATGGTATATATCACAGGTGTCAAACTTGCCACGTCATGTGATGTGTTGCGAGGTATCGGGACTTTTTTTGCATTGCCGGCAATGGGATAGGCACAGCTTCGGTATGATGAAACTGGCCTGCAGGCCAGCAGTTTGACACCCTTGGTATATGTGGAAACATTGATGCAGTGCTTCTCTGTAGTTCAACAGCTACGCCAATTTCCAAGCTCACAGAGTGTAAGGATTGGAAAGATAATCCTGGAGATTATTTAGTCCAATCTCAGCCTGATGCAAAAATCCATCCAGCAGCAGCTAGGCAATCCAGGGGCAGATGTAACTATTTTCATGAGCTGCACAGTTGCTATGCCTGCATTCTGGTGTGCTGAAACCTTTCCCAAATCAAATCTGAAACACTGCATACATCTGTATCCCACAACTGCTGCCCCATATCATGCAAAGCAGCCTTAAGAACTGGGATTTAATTATTTGTGCTGATGGGAAGTATTTGACCAGCATCTACAGCTAAATGAGGTAATAAAGAATTCCATGTCCTTTTTTCCTGCTGAGTAGATGTGCAATGAGCTGAGAGGTTATGCAATATTTGCTAGGTTCCTAAAGCCCTTAGAAAGTGGGCTAACATAGAAAAGCTTTTTCATGATTCAGATGGACTGAAATGTTATTGAATTGTCTTATGCCCACGTTGGCAAGAATATACCATTCTCAAGTTAATCACAGAAGCAATGATTTTCATAAGACAACCATTCACAATCACAAGGATAAAACTGAACCAGTCTGGTAAAATCTTTTTTCCCAGTTATAAACATAAAATGGCTAAGTGTGCTAAATTTGTAAATCAATCCCCTGAATTGGTTTAATGTGGCTGCTTTGTTAATGGCCAGCTATCAAAAATTCCAAGAAAATGCATGCTATATTTTAATGATCCTGCAAGACATGGGGATGACGTCACCCTTTTCAGTGTAAAACTAATGTGCTAAGCTGGTAGTATACAAAGGGAAGAATAGAATGATCTTGGCTGCAGGCTTAGAATGATTCAGATGGCACAACTTGCTCTCAACAATAAGCCACCATACTCCCAAAGGAAAGACTGTCTCAGCACACCAAATGGATAACTGAGGAATGAATTAAGTGCTGTTCTTCTTCCAACCTTCACACAAATGTATACTTATGTTTGTTGTATAAATTTGGCTACGAACCCTTTAATACAAGCCACTGCAGAGGCAAAATTGTTAGACAAACCATTAAGACAAACTCTTTAACATGTTGCAGTATGTATCTGGCTTGGAGGAAATAATGGGACGGACAAAAAAAATTACATCTTTCTACAGAATGATTAACAATAATGCCAAAGGTTCCTGTAAGGCATTTCCCCCCCCCCAATAGTAGAACGAAGTAAAAAGTGGCAGTGAGTTGCAAGGTAAGTTACTGCGATGGAGTAAAGGATATACTTCTTAGACTAAGTTAATGTACATAAATTTAGTACTAAATGTATAGGAAGGATGAGCAATACCAGCAGCATTTTTAGAAATAATAAAGCCTATGCCCTTACCATGATGGCTTCAAATTAAAAATATAAATAACAATTTGCATTTTCTTCAAGATTATCAAAGCAATTATTTAATTAAAAATATTCAAAGATTTCACAATAATTTTCCATATAAAATGTCAATTTTCCAAATGAGTTAGCTTTGAAACACATTAAACTTTCATGCAATAGCATCAACTGTAGGCCCCAAATTAATGGAGCCTTAAAATGTGTTGAATTTTAAATGGATAGATTTTAAGAAAAATATCTTCAATTTCTTTAAATGCTTATTTTTCTAAAAGAATCCATTTCCTTAACAGTTTGGAATTGGATGAATTTGGATAGCAATTTTAAAGCCATACCAAAAGTTGTTTTTTTTTTTGTCAATGCTGGTCACAAATTATTTAAAGCTTCTAGTGTAGTAATTAGGAATACAAAGGGAAAGAAGGAGGAAGTTGTATCACTAAAAAGTACTTTACTTTTTCTATTTTCCAGTTTTTTTTAATGTAGCACTCTTTATCTTGTTTTTCTAACTTTGTATATTTTCTTTGTATTTTCTCTGTACTTCAACAAGGAAATACAGATAATAAAAAACAAATTAGCTAAAATCTATGCATTTCAATAAAATAGGGGTTTGGTGGAGAGAAGCATTGAAGAATAGCAAGAGAACATCCATGTTTGAGGTATTAAGATCTGAATCTTTAGAACACTCATTCATTCTTGTGCAACAATGCAGTATTTTAAGGCCCAACTACATAAAAAAAAATTGGTTGTGCAGATTATGCAATTGGTTTACAGCTATTATCATGGTAACGCTGTCTCTTCGTTTAGGCTTGTTAGATATGAATATGATCTTCTCTAAGATCAGGATCAGCAGTCTTTAGGAAACTGATGGCAGTTTAGCATTCCAGATAATATTGTTATGATGCAATGTCTGACATGCAAATTTTGAAAAAATTCTAATCCTAATCCAAGCATCACACTTACTTATCTATGACCTTTATGATCAATCATGTGATGATAGTTTTTAGTCAACAGATTATAGATATACTTAAAAAAATAAAAAGAGGTTTCACTATAACAAGACATGCTGTCATAGGGTAATGATTTTACCCAAAATTACTACTGTTGATTACTTTAGTAATATTTGAGCAGTTGATCAAGTATTTATTTTGAGTTTCTCAAAATACTACTCTGCATTATTTATAACTTGGATTGAGTGTTCATATTTGGGTAGGTTCCTGTTTACACACATATTTGGGCACAACTCTAAATAGAAGTTGGAGTTATTCAGATTTCTTGTGTTCTTCAGTAACAGAAAGTACTTTTCTTCTCTGATGTAACATATGAAAATACAGCTGAGGGAAGCCTGAAAAACAACAGAATTGGGTAATTAAGTCAGGAGTTTTATCTGTGTATATTTTGATTAGTATCATATACTCAAAAGACTCTCACAAAAAGATATTAATGTCTCAAAACATGCATCTTTGATCTCTTTTAATATATCAGGATTAAAAACTACTCAGGAAATACTGATTGGCTAAGCAGTTTTTCTTTGGACACCTTTCATTTCAATATTCAATTTACTTTATTTTTTTCTCTATGGCACATTATATGCTTAAAGTACAGGCAATAAATAGTTAGTCCCAGTATACCCTGCAGAAGTTCTTTAATTAATAAAACGAGTCAAAGCAAAAATAAAATGATAGCTACTAGCTTAAATATTCAGAAATTAAATGGTCCTTTTCTTTACTTTCTTTTCTTTCTATTATTCACTTTTCTTTTGGCACTATAAATCTGACCTTCTTTCAACAAATCAATATCTCACAGAAGAACAGTTATCTCGTTCTTGATGTAACAGCTGCAGAAAGTTTTTGTTCAAATAGTTACCGGTTCTTTCTATGAAAAAGCACTGCTTTGATAAGATTTATGCTCCAATTACAGCACAATACAATAAAAATGGTGGCTGTCTAATATTGTATCTTCCTCTTTTGTGCCTTCGAGCCAGTGCTGACTCCTGGGGAATGCCTGAATAAGTCCCTGAAGTTTCCTTAAAAAGATTTTCAGAAGTGGTATCTTCTAGTAATAGCAAAACGAAATTTGCAACTTTTGTAGTTCAATCAATAAACTGATTATTACTTTCTCATTCCAGAAAAACAGATGACAAAACAGATGAATCAGGGCTCATCCACCTGGCCCTGATTCTGAGTTGGACTGCTTACTGTTTACTAAAGGCACATCTTCATAGTGCAGGTCCCATCTTGCTGCCAACTGTTCTGAAGAAGAATGAAGTGGACTCGAGTTGATCCAGCAGGGGCTACCCTGCTAGGGGCTACCCTTGAGGAGCATTTGGAAGCTACAATTGGTCCAGAATGCAGCAGTGTAGACAGTTTTAGAGGACTCTAGGGTGGCACATGCAACATCACTCTTAAGTGAGCTGTACCATCTGCCGATCTGCCACCGGGTGCAATTCAAGGTGTTAAAAACCATTGTGGTGTGGGTCCAGGATATCTGCGGAATCAACTTTCTCCAATGGGACTGGCCCACCCCACTTGTACTGGTAGAAGGGGCTACTGCAGATCCCATCCGCCAAGGCATTTCAATTGGTGGGATCCAAGAAAAGAGCTTTTTTTGTCACGGCTCCTGTCCTTTGGAACATCTTGCCACAGGAGGCAAGATCTGCCTCTTTTACCCTTCAGAAAAGTCCTTAAAAGCTGGTTCTGCTGATTGGCATGGGATCCTGAAGCTGCTGCTGGTTGGAGGTAAGGTTGATACACTAATAGAGGACACATCCCATCTCTCCCCACCAAATCCCTGGTTTTTAGCTTGTTTTAATTTTTGTAATTTTAATTCACTTTTATATTTATAATTGCTGTTATATGTCGTTTATCCTGATGTAAGCCACTCAGAGTCACCTGAACCACTAGATAAGTGGCAAATAAATTTGAAAACAAACAAAAACAAGATATCTGCAAGAACTGAAGGTTTTCTTAAATGATAGATGGTGTCATGACATCGTAAGCTGTACAAACTTGTGTGGGAAGTCATAATGCAGGCACAAAAGGGATGTAGTTTGTACTGCAATGCCTGTTTTTTTTTTCATTTGCTCCCATCAATGTTTGCGGTTCATGAGAAGAGAGAGTGAGTTTTGGAGAGTCAGCGACTAGCTAGACTTCAAGTCATCCACTGCAGAAATGCTCCTTCCCATCCAGTGCAGGGCTCTAAGCTTCCTTGGCAATTTCCCTGTGGCTGCCAGAAAGGCTGGCCTCTCTTGGGCAGTTTGTCTTTCTTTCTTGGGCAGACTGGTCTCTCTAAAAGCTGTTTTTTGCATGAGGTGCTTTTCTTGATAACTGCTGTACAGCCCAATGCTATATTCCATTCTGCCAATCCCTACCTTCCACAAAACCTGTCCCCTTCCTTTTCCATGAAGGAAAGGCGCCCTCATGCTCCCTTGATGGTGGCTTTCCTCTGCCACCCTCAAGGGAGCTTGTGCATGGATGGGGAGTGGGGTCTCCAACTAAAACTATAGGGAGAACAGTCTTGCAAAGCTGTTGTTTCTGGTGAAGAAGAGAAAAGCAAAAACATTACTCTAAATAGTTCAATAGTTATAGTTGCGTAACATTATAAGTTATTCTATCACACCAGCATGGGCATGAGGGAGGGAGGGAGGGATTCTTGATATCATCCAGAAATGGGTAATAAGACACTCTGGCTGGACAGCACTGCCTGTAATAGCAGCAACAGGAACTGTTGCTTACTCACCCTTGAGACATGAGGTAAAAATAATGCTGTGGGGGGGGGGGCATCAGTTTTGAAAATGACATGCTTTCCTGGCTTTTCAATGATTGAAGGGAAAAAACATTAATGGGGCTGTGAGGAAGAGGCCAATGTGAAATCTGCGTATCCCAGCTAATACGGAAAGTTGCCAGAACAAAATGCAGGAAAGAGAAGTTTAGTGAAGAGTTTTGTATATTTAACAGATGTGTGGATTTTCCATTTGGACTGACAGTTCTGAGCTTTAGCATATGATCATCATAACAACTATCTATGAAACCCCCTTCATAGATAGGGGAACTGTACATTTACGTTCACTGTGGTCATCGTAAATATACACATACAGTTGGTGTAATGGTTAAGGGGCAGAACTAGGTTGTGGCCTACTAGTTGATTTTCAGTCAGAGAACCTTACTAGATGACTAGGGTGTATTTTCCACATAGGATTCTGTTATGGGACAAGGTAGGAGGAAGAAGCACAGAATATGTCATTTTCAACTCCTGGGAGACAGGTTTGAAAATAATCCTGCCTGGTTTTTTGCAAGATTATTCTAGCATACCAACACACAAAATCTTTAACTGCAAAAGATCACAAATATTTTGAAATTGTTTTAGATACATAGGAGGCAAGAAAATATGAACTGAGTTTGCACTTACTTGGAATGTAAGTTAGCATAACTAGGATCAGAAATGTGTAGTAGTCGAATGAAAAATTATATTTATTAGGTAAACTAATAGAAAATAAACCAGATCTCTTGATAAAGGGCAGAGCAGCATACATTGTGAGCATTTCTCCAGTAACTCCCATTGGATATAGTATGATGAATAAAGTATACCTACAAAACCAAAACATAATATTCACATAGGGATAAAAATCAGAGAGGAAATTCTGGACATACTTATTGAAATTTCAATGACTTAAAAATACCTACATTTCATATCCAAATTAATATAAAATTTCTTATAACTGATTAGTTATATCTTGTTTGAGGATAAAACATTCAAAGTTAAATTTAACAGACTGCAAATTTCTCATTTCTAGGAACTCATGCTATATAATCCAACACACATTTACTTGGATAAAGTTTCATTAAAAACACTGGGAACCTCTAGACACAAAAAACAGAAGTGCTTCATAACATAAGTATAAACTGTTGCTTCAGTAGGATTCTGCAAAGGATTTCCTGGACATTTCCTTAATCAAAAAATAGCAAGACAGTTGAAAGAGGGGACAAACAAAGAAAAAGGGGAGAGAGAGAAGTATGAAGACAAATTAAAGAGCCATTTGAAGGTTAAAAATAAATGAAAGGAAAAGGAGTCCAATATATAGAAAAGAGAGAAACTGATGATCCTTGAGACAGTTAACTCTTCTGCAAATAAGTAAGGGATACTTTTAAAGAGAAACAGCTTTTAAACTACACTAACTGGTTATATGCTTATGTGCTATACCAATTGTTACTATAAAATAAAAATGCAATTGTTCATCATCAACTAGTTCTCTGAATATACAAAAGAAAGAAAATAATGCCCCTCCATGCATGGGTATAATCTAAATTAGGAAGCAACTGATTACAATAACCAATTGCAACTTCTCTTCTCCCTCCAAGCATTCGTGCACATGTCTTATTAAGCAAAGTGAATACAATTCTATTGACTTTCTTCCCTTCCAAGCACAAAAAAACAGCAATAATCCTAACTCCCCTTCTCCTCTCTTATAATTAATTGTAAGAAACTGAAAGGGGAACAAAGAAGATACTTAAAGATACAGAAGATACTACAGAAGATGCTCTGCTTCTGATCTTGAAACATTACAAAACATTTAGCATATTCAAATACTTCACATCTGAAACAATATCTCCATACTCAAAACAGATGCTTCAAATCCAAATGATTTTCATGCCCCTATTACGCGCTTTCCTTACATAAAATGCCCGGTGTCTGTCGGTTTCTCTTCTGCTTTATTGAGCTACTGTTTCTTAAGCTGATAATTATCAAGTATTTAATCACCTTACCTGGCCCACTTGATAAAATAAGGAAGGTGGTTTAGCAAACTAAAGGTGTAGAAAGAGTAACGGATGATCTCTGTGATAGTCCAGGCAACCACAAAAAGAAGGATGCTATCTTCACTTTGCACCTATAAAAGTTAAATGCAGCTGTTGAAAGGGAAAATGAATTATATATATATGATTAAAACATCAAGCCGTGCTTATATTCTTTCACCCCAAGGAGATGAACCATACTATACAAATCAGGCAACATGATGCTTTGAGAAACCATCCTTCCAATGATTTCAAGCTGTGCACATATAATCATACCAATTCATTCTTCTTTATTTTTTAAAAGCCACCTCAGTTCTCCCTCCAGAACAGACTACAGGAAAGTGGTAATTTTAAACTGATTTTTGCCTTCCCCATCAAGAAACGCTGAAATGAAGTCTTTTAGAAAATTAAAAAAGAAATTAGGTGAATAAAAGGAGGGTTCAAGTGGAAAACATTCTTAAGAATCCCTATAAAACTTTCTGTTAGAATCAATTGCGTAATAAAAGCTTCATCTGGAAGCCATTTCTATCGTATTATAGAAAAGAATAAAGATTAGAAGAAAATTACACCTTTGGACCAGAGGTCAGTAACACCTTTGGACCAGAGGTCAGTCTTTTGGGAATTACTGCACACTCGGATGCAATGTCTCAGGTATACAAAACAAAAGAAAGAACTGATTGTTTCGTAACTTTAATTTTAACTAATTATCATCTGTGACTTTATATACAGTATATCGTATCTGTGTCTGGCTGACAGCCTATCCAAAATGTTCTACAGTCTAGGAAATCAGGAAAAGAATTGGATTCTGTCCCTCAATATGTAAGAAAAGGTAGAACTGCTGCCGTTTCTCTCAAAGTTTCTTTGAAGAATGCCACTGCATACTGAAATATACTGCATATGGGTAGTCCTCAACTTACAACTGTTCGTTTAGTGACTGTTTGGCACTAAAAAAAGGACTTGAAATTGGTATTCACACTTCTGACCATTGCAGCATCCCCATGGTTGTGTGATCAAAATTCAGGTGCTTGGCAACTGGCATGGATATACAATAGTTGCAGCATCTCACAATCATGGGATTGCCATTTGCAACTTTCCCAGACAGGTTTTGACAATCAAAATTAATGAGGGAAGCCAATTCATTTCACAAACGCATGGCTCACTTAGCTGTAGTGATTCGCTCAACAATCATGGCAAAATTAAGAACCCCGGGGCAGAACCTTAGATGGGAAGGAAGTTCAAAAGTAATTATTAGAAAATATTACTTCACAGAAAGAGTAGTGGAAGCCTGGAACCAACTTCCAGCGGAGGTAGTTGGTCAATCATCAGTAACTGAGTTTAAACGTGCTTGCAATAAACACATGCCCATTATCTGGCAAAAATTAAAATAAATTAAAATGTTAAAAATAATTAATTAAAAAGAAAACAAAAAAAATCAAAGGACAGACATGATAGACTGCTATGTCTTTTTCTGCTGTCAGTTTTCTATATTTTTTTAAAAAAAGGTTGTAAAATCAGGCATGACTCACTTAACAACTGCCTTGCTTAGCAATTGAAATTCTGGTCCTATTGTGGTCGTAAGTCAAGGACTACCTGTACTGTACTGAAACTCTCGGTACAGGAAGGGAGGACTCTAACCTTAACCTTAACCCTCATCCCTGTTCTTCATTGTGGCGTCTGTGACATAAATATGGGGAATCAACCAGCTAATCTATCAGAAAGGAGACAGCTAAAATGATAGCTAGAAAAAAAAAGTGAGTCTTGCCAATCCCGTTTTGTTGAAATTGAAAGCTCAACTGATACCATCAAATTAATTAGGAAGGCTGAAACTAGGAGATTGACAGATCTTGGATAAAAAAGTGCTCCACAAAAAAAGTTGCTAAGATGAACAAAACCTATGTTATAGTGAAGTCTCTTGAACTGTTTGAATGTTCAATATGTCTACATAAATATGACCTAAAACGTGAATACTGAAAATTCAAAAAGGTTCATAAACTTTTAAGCACCCTGTATGTGGCCTTGAACTTTCATAGTCACTTAACTAGATCAAAAAAAGGATTAAGAGCTGCCACCACTCTTCTTTAAAAACATTGAAATGAAAATGAAGTACCTGGCTTTGTACTAACATAGGAAATGAACAAGTGTGGATTCTTTTAAAAAGGATATGATACTGTTGGAGCAAAATGCAACAGACTTCCTAGTGTCAAGGGCATGAAGAAACTACTCAAGAGCTGTAGAGTATTAAAAAATCTATGAAAAAAAAGTTGTTCATGTAGACGAAATCCTGACACTGCTTTATGCAAAAAGGAAACAACTGGTTATTTAATCCATATGAAAAAAAAATCAAAATTAGAGTTGTATGAAGAGAAGGAACAAGATTCATTGGTATTATATGAAAGAGCCAAGGTGGCGCAGCAGTTAGAGTGCAGTACTGCAGGCCACTTTAGCTGACTGTGTTCAGCAGGTCAGCGGTTCAAATCTCACCGGCTCAAGGTTGACTCAGCCTTCCATCCTTCCGGGTAGGTAAAATGAGGACCCAGATTGTTGGGGGCAATGTAAATATATATATATACATTGCTTACTGGTGTACACCGCTTAGAGAGTGCTTGCACTTAAAGCGGTATATAAGTCTCATAAATAAATAAATAAATATGTCACTCCAACAGGGAGAGAAGACAAAATACAATCAAGCGTGCAAGTTTGTTATGTCTCAATAAAGTATCATTCTAGTCTTCCTGAGGAGTCTGTTTCCTGATCTGAGCTACCTCGTAGGGTTGACATCAATCTTGTAGACCTGATTGTGTTCTACTTCAGGAGCTGCCTGCATATCTTCTGATATGATCTTGTTTCCCAGGGATTTAGGAAATTTTTTAGCCCTCTTAGTTTATGTAATTGTTGTCTCTTTCTCTCAAGGTTCCCTCATTGGCTCTCTAACAGAAACATACTTATTCTAGGAGCTTGGTCAGACAACTCTCTCTCTGAAATAGATTCAATACAGAATATATTTGGGGAGCAGAATTTACAGCTGGTTGTCTCACCAAATCATTTGGATAGTACAAAATAAGAGGAATGGAGGAAAGAATTGAGGGAGAAACCATATCACTTGCTACCAATAAAATTGGGTTGATGAGTGTTTTAAGGTAAAAATTGGCCGATGCAGACAAGACTCCATTATATGGACTTTACCAGGGCAGATAAGATGAGATAGATGGGACAGTTCTCTCTATAAAAAGAATAGTTCAAATGACATCATCTAAGTAACCATGCGATAATGTTTGAATAAAGAACAATGCTTTAAGATTGATTTCTGTGCTAGAGAAGAACACTCAATGATTCTACCATTGTGATGGTCAAAAGAGTACTCTGGCTAAAGTAATCAATATTTTGTTATCAATGACATTGCTGTTAACAACAAAAAGAAACTTCGGTTTAAGGAGACACCTGCATTTTCAGAAACAATATTAAATTAACAAATTACAGGTTCTAATTTCTTGTACTATTAAATACGTCAATTGTACTATCACTGTATTACCTTTGCATCATGCAGGGAGAAGAGACTTGATATCCTCATGTTACTAGTAATTACTGAAAAAGCTTTTATTTGCACTTAAACTTTCCCTCTGTGCTATTTTTTTTTTTTAAAAAAAATTCATACAAGACTGCAGGCAGTACATTTCATATCATATCAGGCTCTCATTATACCCGAAGTATTTTGTTAATGGAGTACATCTTACGTCACCTACTGCCACCTACTGGACATATGATGAACACTGTTTTACATTCCACTTTTCCAATGACAAAAATAATGAACTAAAACAATGGCTACTCAAGATCGGCTAATGACTGGAAAACTATTTTCAGCATCATTCAAAACTAATAGCATATTAGAGCTATTATAAATAATTAATGCTGTTACACTAACAAATAATTCATAGCTTAAAATGAAACACAGCTATCCCTACATCCACAACCAATAGCTGATTTTATTTCTCTCCAATGTCAGATACACAAATATTCTTTCTTTCAAAAATAGTCCTAAGAAGGAAATTCATTCTTTACTGTTGCAGAAATAAAGAAAAACAATAATCAAAATGTAAACATATTTACTTATTGTTCTTATTTCTATTCTGCCTTGATCAAAACATTTGGTGGCTTACACAAACCAGTTAAAACACCCATAGCACAACTTCTAAGAACAATAAAACTGTACCAAATATAAGAATGAAAATAATAAAAATAGTAGGTTCCAAGGGCATGATAAAATCAGGGGAAGGATCACTGGAACAATTCTATCTTTAGTAGCTTCCAAAATGTCAACTGGGAGGGGGTTAACCTGATCTCTACTGGAAAGCTGTTCCACAGTGTTGGTGCTGTCACAGAAAGGCAGAGCCCTCCCATTCTCAAAAATGTGTGATAAATAACAATCACTCTCTTTTTATCTGATCAGCCGGGCCAGTATTGGTGGGAGTAGGTGATCATACAGATATTGGGTACCAAATATTAAAGGGCTTTGTAAGTTGAAACTAGCATCTTAAATTGTATCTGGAAAACTATTGGCAAAACTGGTCTTATTTGCTGATGATACTGGAAGATAGGAAGTATACAGCCTGCTGCGTTTTAGACCAACTTTGGACCAACTTAAAGTAGTCTTTAAGGCCCAAGAGTGCATTATAGTCCTTCAATCCATCTGGATGGTGATAAGCTCTATTTAGGCCCTCCTGCTGCAGGTAGGGTCACAAATAGCATACTAGTTGGAGTATCAAAAACTGCTGCTGGGTCCAGTAAACCAGGAGGGATACATTACCACCATCCAAGTCCTGACAAAGGTCTTCTAAGAGAGTGGCAATTGTTGCCTCCATACCAAACCTGGAAGCAGTATCCTGAATGAAAAAGTTCAGGTGATTTCCTTCATCAAGAGAGCTGCAAACATATTCTGCTACCATCAGCTCATTAACTCCCCCCCCCCAAAATCATCAATAATCTTAGCATTGCAGACTATCAGGTTTTGATCAATAACATCTGAAAGGGAAATTCACTTGCTTTTTGAGTCTTTCAGCAATACCAAGTGATATTTGTTTTGCTAAGCAGGTTAGCTGTAAAGGTGTAGATTAAGCTAGACCAGGGGTGTCAAACTCGCAATGTCACGTGACATGTCGTGATGTATCATGACTTTTTTGCCATTGCCGGCAATGGGGTGGGCGTGGTTTTGCTATGATGCATCCTGCCCACAGGCCGGCATTTTGATACCCCTGAGCCAGACTAAATCAGTGAAATCTCTACTCTGTTTTTAAAAATCATAAGATCCGCTGGGTTCATTCTGCCCCATGAATCATAAATTGCCCATCAAGTCAATATGCAGAAAGCTAATGACATATGAGTGTTCTGAATAAAAGCTTTGGAGTACTGGACACTAAGTTTTTTCCCCACGAACTAAAGATTATGAGAATAATGTAAAGATATTAAAGTTAAGCAATGCCTGACACTTCCAAGAAAACAAAATATAATCAAGCCTGCTTAACTACTGGTGTGCAATACCTTTGAGTGCTGGCACATTGTTTTCAATCTGGCATGACAAGCTTTTGACTTTAATTGCTTGCCATACTTATTTAAAGGGAAATCACACAAGGCATCCCTATCTTTGAATCATTTTTATCCTCCCTAATGAAAAGTAAGAAAACAGGATTTAAATTAAAGAGCGGCAGGTTTTTTCTTCAATTTCAAGTGTTAAAAGGGGGGGGGGAGAGACAGGACAAGCTAACAATGTTATTATCTTAGTAATAAGAACAAGCACATTCTTCAAGCATCATTGGACTCATGCAATTAATATTAGGAGCTAAACATCAGAAAGCATCCAAGAAAACATTTGAAGAACAATCTGCTATCACATATTTGATACCAAAACAAACAATCCCTTCATTAGACTGGCAAATAAATTAAGATAGCTTTGTCTTGTTTGAGAAAAAATTATCTTCAAGAAAAATCTGACCAAAATTATTAAGAGTCTCTCATTAAAAGACTTGAAAAACACGGGGAAGAGTTATGCAAGAGATGAAACACATGCATCTTACAACATCCTCAACAGATGAACTTGTTCAAAGAACTCAGGTATGTAGACAGCCTTTCAAAAAAAAAATGTAGAATATTTTCATAACAATGCAAGTAACCATTTTTTCAAAGAAAACAATACATATGTGTCTTTCAACCCCTAGCCTGGGCTGCTTAGGTAATCAATCAATAAAATTAAATTCTACTACAGCTATAATTTTAATTTTGAATGTTTGTATTCTACAATCGAGTTCTTTCTATGCCATCATTAAGATACTGGAATTATTTCTAATCATATGTTTAAGTTATATTAGTACTACAATAGTGTATTCCAATGACATCTACATTAAAGTTGCTTAAGGGTTTCGAAAAACAGATCCACTCTCAATTCTTCCAGCAGACTTGCTAGCCATGCTACCTGGAAATTGTAAACTAAGTTACAGTACTTAAAAAGATATTTTTCCTTTATATAAATTTTTTACTGGGAGCTGCTCAGAGTCACTTAGAAAGGTTTCTGGCCATACAAATTGAATAAATAATAACAACTTTGGTTTATGAAAAATTGAATGCAGTGAATGAAACCAATGAAGTAAAAAAGGTAAGTGTTCATGTGAATGTTGATTGTCCTTTCCAAACAATGAGTCGGATAATGATACCTAGTTCTTTTCAAGCCTACTGAATCTGACTTGACATATATTAAATGGGAACAAAATAATGTCCACCAAAAAGTATTCTAAATCTAAATTACATGTCCAAGGTGTTGAAATATGACATTTAAACCAACAGTATTGAAAAGGTTATTTGTTTACCGCATGTCTACATGCACATTTGATATCAGCAAAAGAGATTATGTTCACAGAGAACAAAAATAGCAGCTTCATGATAAAGGATGAATAAAATAGTTCACTCTCAACTCACCTCTTTTACACTGTGGGCTATGCCCCATGTCAGAAAAACTCTTGACATGATTTGGAAAGCAGTCAAAACAACAGAGGAAGGAACAATCCCTGTAAAGACAATTTAGATTTAATACATTTTTGAGCTCCTAAACCAGGGGTGTCAAACTCGCAACATCACGTGATGTGTCACGACATATTGTTGACTTTTTTCCCATTGCTAGCAATGGGGTGTGCGCAGTTCCAGCATGACACATCTGGCCCATGGGCCGACAGTTAAACACCCCTGTCCTAAACTATCCACCTACCTCTTAATAGTAATCTGATTTGGAAAGAGACAGTTTTATGAAATTAATTTTAATGTTTTAATACTAAAATATTGGTAAATATTATTTTATTATTGTTTCAAAATTTCTTTCATGGGTGAATTTTGGATCAGAGATGAAGACACAAGGTTTGCTATAGCTTGATCTCAAAATATGCCAAACTATGATTTTCAAGTAATAAATCTGATAAACACATGACTAGTTTTCCTTCTGATTATCAGATGCCAGAGCTAAAACAACAGAAGACATTATGTTCCACATAACATACTTATATGAGATTCCTAGATGCTGGTGCCAAGCACAGAAGGAAACAATCACCCAGTAAGACAATTACAACAATGGTATTTTCAAATGACATTTTTTGTTGAACAGTAAACTCTTATTTATGCAACAGCACTTATCTCAGATAGAAAGGGACAATGTCATATCTGAATAAATGGCTAGTGAATATTCAACTGCTTATGACATACGAAGAAAAAATATATTTTTTCCCAGTAATTTTATTTCCATGACATCAATGATTGTTTAGGGACTATAATTAAAATCCAAACATTCCCACTGAAATGTCTGAATAGCACTAGCTAATTAATAACTCTGGAAGAGGAAATGAAAGATTTTTCATGTGTAAAATTCATGTATTTCTATAATGTAATTTAACACTAGTAAAGTGATATAAGTTCTCAGCTGTAAACATTTGTGCATACATAAAGCACTATTTCTAATTCAATTGTATTTCTCTCAATCAACATAATCAAATTTTGTTTTAGATTTTGTCACTGAGTTATTACATGCATAAATGTAGAAAGTTTGTCTTTATATAACAAATAATAATAATAACTATGCTAGGTGTTGCTCTTCCTGCACATCTGGTAACATGGGCTACAGGAGGTGCTATATAAATCTAACACATACATATACAAGATAGTGAGTGATCCAGTCTCCTCTGCCAGACCCAATTTTTTTTTCCCCACCTGAATGGTATGATTGCCTTATTAGAAACCAGGAAAGTGTTGACCCTGCTAAGGAACCCATCTTCAGTACAGGATAGGGAAAATGCATCTATGGCAGCAATCTCTTTGCTGGAGATTCCAGCAGTACCGGAGTCAGCAAGCCCACTTGTTCTGATAGACTCTGCAAATTCACAGGACCCCTCAACTATTTTCCCTGATCATAACAGACTCAGATATTTCAGCCCCTTGGCCTGAGCAGAGGTCCTTCATGAAGATCCAGCCCAGAACTACACAAATTTGAGACTGGCCAAAAGGCATGGGGGGAGGGGGGATCCAAGAAGACAGCAGATTGCTATCCAGTGAGTGTCAGTTGTGGACTAGGCAGAGATTCAGCATGGCTAATTAATGGCCATCCTTCTCTTTCGACAATGCTGGGGACAACTTAGTTAAAACTCAGCTCTTGCTTGTGACTATCCTGACCTTAACTCTTTCTCCTTTGGATTCCCCATCTGACTGGTCTCCATCCTTGTTGCCTGTTTGTCCCAGGACAATTATCTCTCTTCAGAGGTTCTGCAAAAAGACTTTTTCCACTTAATTGCAACAACATCTATTTCTAGCCTGGCAATTGAAATAGCATGTTCATTTGCTTTCTAGCAGCCAGGTCAACTATTAAAAAAAAAAGTGTGTTTGTGTTTTACTTTGACTTTCCTGTAAGGAGACCAGAAGAACAGAAAATTGGATCAAATTTTTAACTTGTAAGTAAATTGCTTCAAAATGTTGCATTTTATTTTGGCAAACCTTAATGTTTATATCTAACAGTTGTTCCATAAGCAGTATAAAACAGAAGTAGGCCAATTTTTATTATTAAATAATTAACACCATCTCTATACAAGTTGAAACAACTTTTGTTAGTCTGAACATGTAATTCTTACTTTTGAGAAAACAGATTTGCATATTCAAATGCATGTTTAAAACAGAAATAAGGAAAACCAAATGCTGAGAAACTGGATGTATATCATGCTATATACAGTTGCTATTCCTTAAGAATATGAGCAGAATTCCCTCCTTGCCTTCCAAAATAGAGATATTGAATATTTAATTAAAAAACTTACCTACTGCACAGTGCACGATCTAAAAAAAAGAGAAATAATTAAGACTAGGCTTCTCACATTTGTAATACGATTTTCTTTACTACAACAGCATCATGGATTATGACTAAGAACATTGTTCTTAAATAGTATCTCCACCAGTCATTGTTATCATAACATGTATCTCTTATCTGTTCAATAATTTTGTGCAATTTTCATCTCATCAATCACTATCAATTCCTCACCTATAATTCTGCTATGCTGAGAAATCACCTTTCAGAAAACTATCCTTAATGTTTGAGCGTCCCAGTGACTTAAAAGAGATAAAACTCATATCCTTGGGTATGTTCATGAGACAATGATCATTGTCAGTTCAGAACTTCTTCCATGAAATAAAGCAATCCCTCTTCTCTATGCATTATTGGAAAGAGAAGTGAGTCACAGGATGGCAGTTATATGAGCTGCTGCTGGGATATCAGAACCACCCTTAAAAAGAATTTAATTTTCCCTCCCTCCCTCCCTCCCTCCCTCTCCCTCTCTCTCTCTCTGTGTGTATATATATATATTCAGATTTGTTTTTGCTGACAAGATTTAAAGATTTAAGTGGAAGACTAGTATTTCGGACTCATATGTCCTCATCAGCTAGCCACACCCCTGAGGACTGATGAGGACAAATGAGCTGATGAGGACAAATGAGTCCGAAATAGCTATACTAGTGTCTCACTTAAATCTTTAACTCTTGTCAGCAAAAAGAAATCTGAATTTGTAATGTATCGTAGTATGTGTGTGTGTGTGTGTGTATATATATACACACATACACACACATATATCTATCTATCTATCTATCTATCTACATACATACATATCGTAAATGCCGGCGTATAAGGCGACTTCCGCGAGCGCTGAAATCAGTGCCAAAGACGGGGATCATCTTATACGCCGAGTCGTCTTATACGCCGGAAATACTGGTAGTTTCCGGCGTATAAGACGACATTCTAGGAATGCGGCCCGGCTATAAAGACGGGGATCGTCTTATACGCCAGGTCGCCTTGTACACCGGCATTTACGGTACATACATACATACATGTAGGTCTTTGGTTATTCGGGTTTTCTCCTGCGTCAAATTGGAAGTGTCTTGGTGACGTTTCGACGAAGTCCCATTCGTCATCTTCAGGCTGGTGTTTTCGGCTTCATGCTTTTAGGAGCACGAAGCCGAAAACACCAGCCTGAAGATAATGAATGGGACTTCGTCGAAACGTCAGCAAGACACTTCCAATTTGATGCGGGAGAAAACCCGAATAATCAAAGACCTACATACAAACACCCGTGAAAACCTTAGAAAATATATGTATGTATGTATGTATATGTATATGTGTGTATATATATATGTGTGTATATATATATATATATATATATATATATGTATATATCAGAATAAACCTTGCAAAAACATATGATGCATTTAAAAGGGATAGTAAGTAATTCAGCATTACAATATAGGAAGAAGTCAAAGTGCCTAGGGCAGTGATGGCAAATCTTTTGAGCTTGACGTGACAAAAAAAATCAGAAAATGCCTACCTTAACTCTGCTGGCATGTCACACATGCATCCTAGAGAAAAAAAGGCTTCTCCGGACCTCCTCTTTGGACTCTCCTCTCCTCTGGATTCTCATCTCTGGATGCTCTGAAAGTTGTGTGATTTTGGGACTCCTCGGAGTGATGTGAGTTTCAGAGGGTTTGCAGGTTTTTCCAGACCCTTTGAAAGTCATGTGGGATGGTTCTGAGGCCTCTGGAACCTCAGGAAATTGTATGAAAATGGGAATGTGCAATTTTTGAATGTCTCGGGCTGCACAAGAGCAAGGCCTTCTTGCACAACTTCCAGAGGGTTCCTGAAGTGTGGAATGTCACCAAAAATGGTATGCCATGCATGTCATCTGTGACATATATATCATAGATTTGCCATCACTGGCCTAAGATAAGAAGACTTTCCCTGTGATACACCTACCTCAAGCAAAGCTCCAGTCTGGAAGAATTTCAAAGGCTTTTCTATTGAATGATAGAGATTATGATAGCTACCCGTTGCAAGGTATGCTCTGACTAAACCAACTGCTATAACAAGCCACCTAGAAGAAAAAGAGACAGGAAAACATGGTGATGTTTTTCTTGAAATGCCAATATTCTCCATAATCATGCAACAGATACCATGAAATATTTCAGGAGTAATATAACCTTCTTAAAATAAGCAATTCAGCATTATATTCCACTGAGATAGAAATATACTTTACCAGTTTGGTTGCTGAAAAAAATGCAAATTATAGTCTAACAGCTGCAACTGCGAAGCTAAAAGTGGGATTCTTTTAAATATTTTAAACAGAAGTAAATAGCGTCTCTATTAACCGAAGATTAGGAATAAAACTGAATCTAAAGCCATTAGGTTTTGTTCAACTGATAATGATTCGCTCACTTCTCCAGTACAGAACTTGCATATGAAGCTTAACTATGTCATGCAATGTTGTATGAAGAGTAGAGTACAATATTAAATGTCTCCAAGGAAACAAAGTATGGGTGCACACCATCAAATAAATTGTGTACTACTACTACTTCTTTACTAGCTACTCTTTACAAAAATCCAATAGATCCAATGAGACTTACCAAGTAATTATATACACTTCAAAGGCTTATTTTCTTAGAAAGAAAGTTGGTGTTATGCATTTTTGGGTGTTGGTGTTATGCATGTCAGTCTTTTTGTAAAAAAAAAAAATTACCCGATAGGACCTGGAAACAAGGGTGAGCAGACATAGCATTAATGGGAACCCGACTGGGACTGATCTTCATTTAAAATTACTATTTAGCAATCTCATAATGAACCAACTTAGTCACACTCATGGGTGTTGTTCGTCCATCGATTTTGATGAGGACCTTGACATCTTGTAGATTATGGGCCATAACGATGTGTCCGTAGGTGGCTGATAAGACCGATGTTAGCATGGAATGTTCTACCACATACTGAACAAAGAAATGTAGACACTGTTACTTCATCATTTACAGCTCTGGCTTTGCGGAGTGCTCGCTTCTCTTGTGCCAAGATTGTCCTTCTGTGTTCATATGTCTGGCAACCCTGGTACACCAAGGTGCGCCATGTCGATCGATCATGCACCAGAAGTTCCCAAGAGATGGTGTTAATATCCAGGGACTTGAGAGGCTTTTAGCGTGTCTTGGTATCGCTTCTTTTGTCCCCCGTGCGATCGTTTTCCTTGAGACAGCTCACCATAGAAGAGCTGTTTAAGGATGTGATGATCTGGCATCCTTACAACATGGCCTGCCCAGCGCATCTGGGCTTTCATCAACAGAGTGTAAACTGATGATAAGCCTGGTCTGGAGAGGACATCTGTGTCTGGTATCTTATCTTGCCACTGGATCCTCAGAATTCTACGAAGGCAAGTCATGTGGAAGTAGTTCAGTTGCCTTACATGCCTCCTGTACACTGTCCAGGTCTCACTAGCATACATCAGGGTAGTTAGCACTGCTGCCTGGTAAACTTTAAGCTTAGTAGCAAGGCTTATTCCATGGCGGTCCCACACATTAGTCCGCAATCTGCCAAATGCAGAACTTGCCTTGGCAATTCTACAGTTGACCTCGTTGTCAATTGTCACTGCACGGGAGAGGGTACTACCAAGATACATAAACTGGTCCACTGCTTGCAGCTTTTGTCCCTTTACTGTGATGGTAGGCTCTTGATATTGGGCTTTTGGAACTGGCTGGTACATCACTTCAGTTTTCTTTGTGTTGATGAAGAGGCCAAAGTTGTCACAAGCGGCTGCGAATTTGTCCATGCTGGCTTGCATTTCCTGCTCCGATCCTGCATTAAGAGCACAGTCATCAGCAAAGAGGAGATCTCATAGCACAGCCTCCTTTACCTTGGTGACAGCCTGACATCTTCGCAGGTTGAACAATTTCCCATCGGTTTTGTACCTCAGATTAATTCCCACTGAGCTGTTCTGAAAGGCGTCTGACAGCATGGCTGAAAACATCATGCTGAACAGGGTTGGTGCCAGCACGCAGTCTTGCTTAACGCCATTAGTGACAGGGAAGGCCTCTGAGGCTCCACCATTACTCAGAACACGAGCCGCCATGCCATCATGGAACTGCCATACCATCAGAATAAATCTGTCAGGGCACCCAAACTTCGACATAATGCGCCATAATCCTTCACGACTGTGTCGAAAGCCTTGGTGAGATCCACAAAGGTGGTGTATAGTTCACGAGTCTGCTCCTGACATTTCTCCTGAAGCTGTTGAGCTGCAAAGATCACGTCCACCGTGCCACGCTCTTTGCAGAAACCACACTGTGTCTCAGGTAGTATACCCTGTTCCAGATGGTCAATCAGGTGATTTAGCAACACTCGTGCAAAGATCTTGCCTGCGACAGAGACAAGTGATATTCCTCTATAATTATCGCAGACTTGTCGATTTCCTTTCCTCTTGTAGAGATGCACGATGGACACGTCTTTCAGTTCCTGGGGAATGGAACCTTGTTTCCAGAAAGATCGGAACAACTGGGTAAGTTTTTCAACAAGCACAGCACCACCAGCCTTATAGACTCCCGCTGGGATTGCGTCAGATCCTGGCGCCTTACCACTGGAACACTGACTGATGGCCTGTGAGGTTTCAGCCTCCGATGGTAGGGCATCCAGACTATAGTTGATATCTACCTGGGATATCCTTTCAATCGCCTCATTATTGATGGTAGATGGGCAGTTCAGTGGAAATGCTCAGCCAACGCTGTAAAATCAGGGTCTTCTCAGTGATAAGAGTTGCACCACTCAAATCCAGTAAAGGAGAACTTCCTAAGGGCTGAGGTCCATACAGGGATCTCAGGGCTTCATAGAACTGTTTGACATCGCCTCTATCAGCAAACCTCTGGATTTCATCTGCTTTGGCACTCAACCAGGAGTCCTGCATCTTGCGGAGCTTGCTCTGTACAATCCTGCGAGTGTTTATAAAAGCATTTTTCTTTGCAGTTGACGATGGGTCATTCTGATGAGCACGGTAGAGATAGTGTTTTTCAGCAAGCAAGGCCTTAATCTCTTCATCGTTTTCATCAAACCAGTCCTGCTGCTTCCTATATGAAGGTCCAAGAACCTTAAGTGCAGAAGAGTGCAAGATGTCCCAGAAACATTCCCAGTCCTTCTCAGCATTTTCCTGTATTTGCAGCTCCAGGAGTTGATTGTCAAGATCTTTTACTAATGAAGCTACTACGTCTGGGTTTTCCAGTGTACTGACGTTGATCTTTTTCATCACAACTCTGTTTCCCTGTGGACGATTCTTTGGCTTGATGTGAATATTTAACTTGGAAATGATTGAGTCTATGATCAGTCCAGCAGTCAGCACTCGGCATAGCCTTAGTTACTCTTACATCTTGCATGTCTTTCCTCCGCACAATGACATAATCAATGAGATGCCAGTGCATCCAGGACATCTTTTTACGAATAGGCAGGTGAAAGATGGTATTAGTAATGACCAGGTACCTCTGGTGTAGGGCTGTCATGCCTCTCTAGGGCAGCTCGTACACCTTTGGTCCCCACCTGACACTCAGCTCTCACCTGCGCATGTTACAGCTACTAGGAGCCACAGGTGAGAGCTGAGTGTCAGATGGGGATCAAAGGTGTACGAGCTGCCCTAAAGAGGCATGACATGCCCTACACCAGAGGTACTACCCCTCCCTGACCACCCCATACACCCATAAATACACTCATGGGTATTTATGGCAATGAATGCATAAGGGAAAATCAGGAGGCACAATGTTATGCTGGCTTTAGATTTTTGCATCTCAGAACTTCAATTAAAATATAAGGCTTTAAAGCAGGGGTGTCAAACTGCCAGCCTGCGGGCCGGATGCGTCCTCCAGAAGCCGCACCCACCCCATTGCCGGCAATGGCAAAACTGTCCTGATATGTTGTGCAACGTCACGTGACATCACAAGTTTGACATGTCTGCTTTAAAGATATAAGGCTCCTGCCTTGAGCAGGGGCTTGACCAGAAGACCTCCGAGGTCCCTTTCAGCCTTATGATGCTATGTTTCTAAAAGCAGAATGTATTCAGCTGATATTAGAGATAACATTGCTAAAGAAAGCTTTTCTACCCAAATTAAAGTGTCACAAATTTGTTATTGAAACACATCTTTATCTTTAAGAAACATCCACTAATCCCTGGGAAATCAGAGAGTTCCAGAAGTTTAGAGTAGTTTTAGGATGGATGAAAATGATCTGCAACTTAACACAGACAAGACAGAAACTGTTGATGGGAAAATATATTTTAGCTGTTTATCCAGTTCTGAATGGAGTTGCACACTCTCTGAAAGTTCTAGATCATCATTTGAGGTCTTGTAGGAATTACAGGATTGTGAAAGCTGTGATAATGACTATATTTGTGGAATTAGGCTCACTAAGGTGCTTGCAGACATTTCCTATTTAATACCTTCTGGCCTACAGTTATAATCTGTCAGGAAGCTGGATGTCCTATATCAGGTTTTCTCACTATCACTCTGATTTTCCAAAAACTCCCACTTACTATTACCAAATTTATTTGCTGCCCATCTTGCAGTTCAAAGTGACTCTGAGTGGCTTAGCAACTTAATTTTATCGTGTATTAAATGCATGGATTAGTGATGCATCAGCATTGAGAAACAGCACTTATTTCTCACCACATGGAAATATATCCAGAGTAAATGATACTTTAGTTGGCATGCAATTCTATAATGACAGTGATCACTGAACAACCACTTGGCTGTTCTTTCTTTAGACAGCAATAAGATGACAAAAGAAAGTGATATGGTCCCAAAAATGGTTGCAAATGATGCTGATTATACTGAAATACAACTTGCTGACATTTAGAATGGACACGCGCCTTCAAAAATCAACCAATACACACACCTTATATATTCTGAATAAGTTCTTATCACATGTATGTTCAATCCTGGCACCTTAATGCTGTATGTACTATTGTAACACAAAAAATTGTAATGCGCCTCAAATATATCAGATTCCAATTATTGCTTTATTATTAGAGTCTAATAATTATTTGTACAGTGTAATTCTATAGGCAAATAGAAAGAAAAACATGGCACATAGATATCTTAAATTATTAAGAAAGTGGTTGTAAGGACCCACCCCACTTTGCATCTTAA